TGTAGCGTGGCTCCATTCAAATACACTGTTCTACAGTCTTATCATCTCTAGCTTATATCCCAATATTGAGTGAGAATAATGGGAAGTACCAGACGGGGGCGTCACATACTGTAACAACTGGTTCACCCAGCAACCGGAAATGTGAGAGAGTGAGCGCGCACAGTTGCTTTTCTCGCGCGTATGCCATCCACACATGTGTGCGGCATCACAAAACATTGCAATTAGCTCACATGCGCCTTCCTCGTATGCGTGCGGTGTAAAAAACACAGTGATATGGGATGGGATTGCACCTGGGCGGGGGGGCAGAGGCGGGCCCACCTTCAGTTTGCAACTACCGGTTCGTCTGAACCGGTCTGAACCGGTAGCAGCCCACTACTGGGAAGTACACATAGTCCTGAACTTACAACAGTTCGTTTAGTGTCCATTCAAAGTTATAATGGCACTGAAAAATGTGACTTATGACCATTTTTCAGTTACGACCCTTGCACAATTTTAGGGCGTGTCAAATTTTTCAGCTTTCAATTTCCAAACATTAGGGGTGCTGAAAAGTTGTGACATGCCTTGAGGATTGTAAAGATAGTTTGGTTACTTTAATATAATTTAGGTGTGCTTGGTAAGCAACGACAAAAATATCATAATTTTTTAACTTTTTGTTTGTTTCATCAGGATCATGTGATCAAAATTCAGATGGCTGATATTTAGGACCGTTGCTGTGTCTCAAGGTCATGTGATTCCCTTTGGTGACCTTCTGACGAGCAAAATCCATGGGGAAGCCAGATTCATTTAACAACCGGGTTACTAACTTATGAACTGCAGTGATTCACTTAACGCCTGCGGTGAGAAAGGTCGTAAAATGGGGCAAAACCAGGGGTGAAATCCAGCAGATTCTGACAGGTTCTGGAGAACCAGTAGCGGAAATTTTGAGCAGTTCGGAGAACCGGCAAATACCACCTCTGGCTGGTCCCAGAGTGGGGTGGGAATGGAGATTTTGCAATATCCTTCCCCCAGGAGTGGGGTGGGAATGGAGATTTTGCAGTATCCTTCCCCTGCCATGCCCACCAAGCCACGCCCATCCAGCCACACCATGCCCATCAAGCTACGTCCACAGAACTGGTAGTAAAAAAAATTGGATTTCACCACTGGGCAAAACTCACTTAAGAAATGCCTCATTTTACAACAGAAATTTCAGACTCAATTGTGGTCATAAGTCGAGGAGTACCTGTATCAGACAAGCCATCTGGTGGCTGCTAAATTAAGAAGGCTGGGTAGAAAGATATTAGCAGCTTCTGTTTTTATCTGTCTTATACCAGTCTTTCTAAAAAAAAAACATATAGCTGTGAGGGAGAACCTATGGCATGTGTGCCAGAGTTGGCATGCAGCGCCCTCTCTGATGGCACATGAGCCAACACCCCAGTTCAGCCCCGCTGTGCATGCACCTCCCTCCAGCCAGCTGGTCTTCGGGACTCTGCCGCACATGGCAGGGTGTAGGGTGTGTGTGTGGGAATGTGTGCATGCAGAGGCGGCGGGATACATGCAGGGGGCCATGCACGCATGCACGGGGCGCATGTGCAGGGGGCACGCGCATTGCATTTTGAGGGTTTGGGCACTTGGTCCGGAAAAGGTTAACCATCACTAACCTATAGCATCACAGCCTCTGGGTTTTATTTTAGTCAAAGGAAACAATGCCAGGACTGACTCTATGTAATCTACTCCCTGCAATGCATCTGAAGAAAAGTTTCCAATTATCTGGGATGTCAAACAGGCTTGTTAACCTTATGAAACTGTGAGCGATGTCATCATCAATTCCTCTTTTCTGTTCCCTCCATAGATTTTTGATCTCTCTTTTCTGATGAGACACTTCTGAAAAGCCGGCCGCCAAAGGAAGCAAGATGCACCAAAGGAGAAGGGACCGGACTGAGGGAATAAGCCATCTTTCTCTCCGTGGCATTAGGACGTATTAAAGTTTGCCTAGTTTAAATAAGTCAAGGACATTTTGGAGGGTAGCCTTTCCCCATCTGGATCCATCCATCAAGAACTGGACCAATATACTGGAAAGAAAGTTGGTAACAGTTGATGGACATTTATGGAGTCAATTCAGCCTGTTCTTATATTCTTCAGGTAAATGCAGGTTTTCCAAAGGGAATATGTAGAAATTATCAGTTTACTCCTGCAGAGGTGGGTTCTAAAAATGTTTACTACCGGTTCTGTGGGCATGGCTTATTTTGTGGGCGTGGCTTGATGGTCATGTGACAATTATTTAGGATTTAGCAGAGGTACTGGTCTACCAGGCTTTTAACTGCTTGAAGAGCTGTACCGATCTACCCATTTATTTTTTGCAGGCACTGGTCTACCCATTTATTTTTGCAGGGACTGATCTACTCATGTATTTTTGCAGGCACTGGTCTACTCATTTGTTTGCTTTTAACACTGATCAGCTGTAGGACGGCCCTTTGAAGCCCCGTGGCAAGAGTTTAAACAGTTTTTTTCCCTCTAGCCATCAGCTGGGACTCAGGAGGCAGCAATAGATTGGGGGTGGGGCCAAATAAAAGGTAAGAATAATGCGGGGGTGGAGTGGGCACGCGGGGTGGGGGTGTGGGGGGCGGGGGGGCAGAACCGGTTCGGTGATGTCATATCGTCACCGCTACCGGCTTGGGAGAACCGGACCGAACCGGGAAGAACCCACCACTGTACTCCTGACAACAACTGGTACAGTGGTGGGTTTCAAAAAATTTTACTATTGGTTCTGTGGGTATGGCTTAGTGGGTGTGGCATTGCTTGGTAGGCGTAGCAGGGGAAGGATACTGTAAAATCTCCATTCCCACCCCACTCCAGGGGAAGGTTACTGCAAAATCCCCATTTCCTCCCGATCAGCTGGGACTTGGGAGGCAGAGAATAGATGGGGGTGAGGTCAGTCAGAATTTTTACTACCGGTTCTCTGAACTACTCAAAATTTCCGCTACTGGTTCTCCAGAACTGGTTAGAACCTGCTGAAACCCACCTCTGAACTGGTTGCGTGGCTGTTATACTGGAATTTAATTGCAGCATTTTAAATGATGGCTTGTCCCAAACAATGGATTGATTTTCTCTCTCTCTTTCTCTCTCCCTCCCTCCCTTTCCCTCTCTCCCTCTCTGTCTCTCTCTCTCTCTTTGCCAATGTCAATGTCAATGCTGTATGGATCTTCAAAAGAGCATTTTGCTTTCTTGATGTAGCCCATTAAAATGAAGCAAAATACAGCTATAATGATGCTTTGCCTGGTTTATTTTTAGTAATTTACTTTTTTTTTTTTTTTTTGCATTTCTTGACTCTGGGTGGCTCAAAACCATATTGCGTCAATCAAATTTTCTTGCAATAAAATCAATATAAAAACTACAGTGTGGGACCACGTAGTCATTTGACAGCAAAAAGACAAACTGATAACCTCCGGAGCCAAAATAGCAGCCAGCATTCCTTCGATTTATCCTCCAAAGACTTGGCCAAAAGAGCCTAGGGATTTACTAGCAGGAGCACAGAAGCACTTAACTGAAGCGACAATTCATTGACACCAAAAACTCCATGAGCCACTTTTTCCCAGCAATAGCTTCACGGACATGCCTTACTGAAGTTGCTCACCTTTAATTACAAAGCAATAATATGCTATCTGCAGCCATGGTTTCCTAAACGGCTATTAAAACTGTTTAAAATAAATATTTTATGTTTATTATTTTTTTACTTTAATAAAAGACCAGGACGTTTCGCATTGCAGACAACCTAGAAATCCTACATGCAGATTGCTGTACTTTTTGCAAGATCAGTGCAATTTAAATAACCGAAACCGTCTGACATGATAGCAGTGTTCCAGTATTTGAGGGGCTGCCACAAAGAAGGGGAGGGGGTCAAATCATTCTGCTAAACAAATAACTCCCTCAAACTATTCACATTAGGCTGCATTACTATTACTATTAGTCTTCTCATCGTTCCCATCACCCATCTCATCCCACTTATGACTGCATGACTGTAACTTTGTTGCTTGTATCCTTACGATTTATATTGATATTGATTGTTTCCTAGTATGATTTGATTGCTTATTGTACCCTATGACTATCATTAAATGTTGTACCTTATGATTCTTGATGAATGTATCTTGTCTTTTATGTACACTGAGAGCATATGCACTGAAGACAAATTCCTTGTGTGTCCAATCACACTTGGCCAATAAAGAATTCTATTCCATTCGATTCGATTCGAGTCGAGTCGAGTCGAGTCGAGTCGAGTCTACTCTAGTCTAGTCTAGTCTAGTCTAGTTCAGTCCATTCCATTCCATTCGAGTCGAGTCGAGTCGAGTCTAGTCTAGTCTAGTCTAGTCTAGTCTAGTCTAGTCTAGTCTAGTCTAGTCTAGTCTAGTTCAGTCCATTCCATTCCATTCTATTCCATTCTATTCTATTCCATTCCATTCTATTCTATTCTATTCTATTCTATTCTATTCTATTCTATTCTATTCTATTCTTCTCCAAAGCCCCAGAAGGCAGGACAAGAAATAATAATTGGAAACTAATCAAAGAGAAAAGCAACCTGGAATTAAGGAGAAACTTCCTGACAATGAGGACAATTAACCAGTGGATTCTCCATCACTGGACGTGATGGGTGTGGGTTCTCCATCACTGGAGGTTTTTAAGAGGAGACTGAACAGTCACTTGTCTGAGATGGTATTGGGTGTCTTACTTGAGCAGGGGGCTGGACTAGAAGACCTCCAAGGTCCCTTCCAGCTCTATTCTAATTCTATCTGTGACCAACTTATCCAAAATTGCTTTCCCCATCCTCACTGCAGTGCCTAGTTCAACACAGTTATACCTTTCTACTTGTGACTCAGTTGGGTGGCTTCAGTCTATCAGCCATCTTTCTCATGACTTCTGCTCTTATTGAAGAACAGAAGGAAATTTGACCTGGGATTCTATAAAGAATGTGCCAGTCTTCCTAAGGAAAGAAAGAAAGAAAAAAATGCAGGTAATATGTTTCTGCTTACTTTCCCCTGGTAGTATCAAAGCTGGGGCTTCTGTTATCTTTAGCCTGCTGGCCGCTGTTGCTGCCGTAGCCCGATTGTCTGGAAGTTCTGCTCACAACTGGTTTTTTCGGTGTTTCCTTTTCAAGAGGACCCTTTCGGGGTTGGATCTGTGCTGAATGTCCTCCATCCTTAGGTAGGATCGATGTCTTGGCATTTGTAACACTACCATCACTGTCCTTTTCTCTGCTAGGAGTTTTAAGGCTGATGTTTTCTCCTTGCTGGATTGTAACTGGGGTTGGCGAGCTTTGAATTTCCTCCTGGGTTGTAAAAGTGCTATGTTTTATGTCTCGTCCATCCTGTTTTATAGCCAGCACAGAAGTTGGATTCGCAGAAGAATCTGGTATCAATGATATTGCCTCCACACCTCCAAGGCTCTGAACTTCAGGAACAGCTGAGCCAGGATGACTTACTTCCACTTTGCTGGAATCCAAAGTCGTGACCAAGATCGGGTCTGTTGAATTGGCTTCTGCTCTGCTTCGTCCCAAGGTTAAGAAAAGCAATACTGAAAATATCTCCCACATTCTCTTGGCTTGCAAGAACCTCGGTATGTCTTTCATATCGTCCTCAGCAGAGGCCGTCTAAACTCTTTCGCTTTCTGCTGTTGCTTTCACTATGGATCTGAACCAAACGCCGGATTGCGAGGTTGTGTTTGCGGGAGAGAAAGGAAACAGGTTTTTGAGTATTTGAAAGTAGACTGAGGAAGCTCCGTTTCCTGTTTCTATGGGTTCCTCTGTGACCTGTGACCTCTTGGAGCAGTGGAAGCAAAATTCCTTAGAGGAAGATTATACCGATTGTCTTTGTTGAAGCTGGAGGAGAGGGAATGGCATAATGCGAACATGGAAATACGCTGTCAGTGAAATCAGTTCAAGGCAGATGGGTGTGGATGTTGAGTAACTTCCCTTTCACATTGAGTAGCTGCAGAGAACACAAGAGACCTGTCCAATGTCTCACTTGCATAACCATTCCATGATGTAAGTAAATCTCAAGTTACTTCTTCGTTACAGTTAGTCCTTGACTTATGACCATAAGCGAGTCCAACATTTCTGTTGCTAAGCAAGACAGTTGTTACGCGTCCTGTTTTACATTCTTCCTTGTGCCACAATTGTTAAGTGAATCCCTGCAGTTGTTAAGTTAGTAACATGGTTACTAGATTACTAGGTTACCCAATTCCCAAAGTTAAGTGAATCTGGCTTGTCCATTGATTTTGCATGTCAGAAGTTTGCAAAAGGTGATCACATGACCCTACGATAGCATGATCACATGACCCTATGACAGCAACTATCATAAATATAAGTTAGCTGCCAAGTTTCGTGGCATGAGGATGCTGCAACGATCATAAATACGAATAGCTGTCATAAGTCACTTTTTTCGATGTCATCGTAACTTTCAACAATCACTAAATGAACTGCTGTAAGTCAAAGACTACATGTAATCATTATCTGTGTTTACTCTCAACACCATCATGGTCTATCTGTATCTATTCGTGTTTATATGCATATCTCAAAGCTCAATATGACTTTTAATATATTCCTCATATTCCTCTACATAATATTCCTACCACTACATAATATTCAATTCAATTTATTATTACAGAGACCAGAACAAAGAAAAGCACTCAGTATATATATATACTTAAAAATTCTAGTATAAAATAATAAATAACATCTAAAATCTATAATAAAATCCAGTGTCAATTATACATGGTCTGACTCAGAGGTGGGTTTCAGCAGGTTCTGACCAGTTCTGGAGAACCAGTAGCGGAAATTTTGAGTAGTTCAGAGAACCGATAGCGGTTGGCGATTGTGACGCATATTGTGATGCATATTTTGAGTGACTGGGAGCCGGAGCAGAGGGATGAAGAGCCACATGCGGCTCCAGGGGTTGCTGACCCCTGCTTTAGGGTAAGGAACCATCCTAAAAATGTCTCACTGCTTTCATCTGCTCAAGTAAGATGATCCAAAAGACGCAAGTTGCTATACATCAAACACCTGCTTAGAATACCCATTGCGGCCGCTGATCGTTCCCTATCCCCAATTTTTCCCTTAACTTACTTTCTCCACGAGACAGCAGAGAGAGCTTCCATTCCCTAGACAAAGTGTCACATTAACTTGAAGGAAGACCCAGAGAATGCATGTTCTCAGCATGCCTGATAGACCTGCAGCTTTAATTGCTACATCAATTTTTTTTTCTAAGGGAAGTTTCTGTTTCATGAAAATAGATGTGAGTCAAGCACATATTGTTTCAAGGGCAATTTACGTACCGCTGCAAAATACCTTCAGAATCATTTAGTAGTATTAAACTCAACAGTTCTGGGAAACTCCTCCATTTTGGGAAGACCAGATATATCTATCGTTGCTGTGCGCCAGGAAATGCTACCAGTTCAGACTGGTTCGCCAGAACTGATAGTAAAAAATGCTACCGGTTTGGGCAAACTGGTATTTCCTTTTTTTGGGGGGGGATTTATTTTTATTTTTAAACAAACAATTCATCATTAATCAATCAGTGTAGCATCTGGGTACAACAAATTTTGTGTCATCATATTCAACATTTATCATCATTTTCTTAGTACATATTTATCTTTCCGACAATCAGCTGTGCCGCGTGAAATCCTGCTTTCTAGAGAATCTAAATCGCACAGCACAGCTGTTCCCCCCCCCTCGCTGTTCTACTTACCTTTGCAGATTCAGAAAAGGCTTCTTAATCCTCTTTTTTCAGCACTGCACAATAGCGCCTGTGGTGTGCACGCAGGCACAGCGCGTGTTTGATGTGCACTGCACATGTGCACGCAAAGTGAACCGGTAGTGAAGCGAACTGGTAGCAGACTTCAGAGCATTTCATCCCTGCTGTGCACGCCTTTTTTATCTTGGACACCCATCCCAAGGTAACAAGCATCTTCTGGTTGCCACAAAGTGATGTGAGTGGCAGTATGCCTCTAGCTTAGCTTGTAGCACATCAACTAATTGTGACTGAAAGGTGGACATCTCTGAGCGGACGTGGGCAGCTGCTGAAACAAGATCCCATTTTCTCTGCTGTTAGTGCAAAGGTTCTTCATATTTCCGCAGCTGCCAGCATCTCATTAACAGCTCTTCTTGTGAAATGGGCAAGTCATAAACAACTAAGATTAGTCGGACGGGAGCTGCTGTGCTAACATGCGACTGTAACACTTAATCATACACCAAGCAGGACTGGTGACGATTGAACCAGATATTCTGAATCGCTTGTGTTTACATTGCTATGCTTTCTCTGTGTTTTGTAGCCAGTAATAGGCCTTCGCAGAAGGTAATTGCTACGGAGGTGATCAGAGCAGGGTGTTCTAGAAAGGGAAAAGGAGGGACTCATGAAACAGCAAAGTCAAAGCTGAGACCCATAGCTAATTCAGGGCAGCAGATCAACCTTTCTGGTCAAAATCAATTAGACATTGTTTCAAGAACATTTTACATGAGACCTGATAGCAGTCGTAGGCCTAGATTTAATTATAGAAAACAGGTGGAACGTATTCACCCAAGAGAAGGAAGGAGATACCACTGGCTTAATCATCTTCCATTGGAGGAAAGCCAATAATTTAACTTGAAATTCAGAAAAAAGTCAAAGGCATGGAATATATGGAGCATTTGTTAGGCATAGACAACAATCTGAGAGGCAGGACTGTGACACATGATTAGCGGCATAAAACTTTGTGAGCAGAAGCGATGCTGGTTTTTCAAAGTCTTGTTAGTGTTGGAAGAAATATCCATCTGGTTCAGTTCCAAGTGGGGAGAAAGACACTGGAAACATGGAGGCTGATTGGAAAGATAGTTTACTGATAAACAGGACCACATGGGTTTGAGGTCCTGGGCAGCTGACCATATGGAGTGGAGAGTGGGGGTTATTTATACCCTCTCTTAGGCCTTGCCCTTGAGCTTCCTGTTCCTGTGCAAGAAAAATATTCTATTGATTGCTGTAGGGGTCACTGCTATCTTTGTAGGCTGTCTGAGTCCCAGGCTTGGTTGAAAGTTGCTTGGTTAAGCAATGAAGGGGCTTGTTGTGCCATGTGGTGAGCTCTGCTGCGAGATGGTAGTGGGCTAATCCTTTTATGTCCAGTGGTGTCATGTTTTAATCCATCCCCCTGGAGCTGAAGGTCTTTTGTCTTGTAGATAGGCTGGCCTAGTCCTGCTGGGTCTATCAAGAAAGGTGGGGGCTGCTTTCCAAGAGCATGTTTCTCCTTTAGGGAAATATAATATTCTGCCTTTTTTAAAATATTTTCCAAAATATTTCCTTCTTCTAGGAGAGGGGTGGGTGCTAATTTTCTACATTAGAAAACAATAAGGTCTTTCTATTAATGTCAACTGATGGGAAGTGACCAAAGGAAAAAAATCTAAGGGGATTAGCTTCCTCGTTCTAAGAAGGACTTTGTTATTATAGTAACAGGAGTAATAAGAAAACACACAACAAGTTTCTTTCTGAGGTCTATCAATCTAGAATTTCACAAATACAAGTAGCCTTGACTTACGACTGGAATTTAGCCTGGCAATTAGGCTCAATAAGTCGTGATGGTCATCAAGCAGAACATCACATGATCAACCTGATTTTACCAACTTTTTTGTGGCATTTAAGCAAATGTGGTAATCATTAAGTGAACCCATTGTTCACTAGGGATGCTTTTTTTTTTGCTGGAAACCCAGAAGAACACACTGGTTTTCCACAAAAATGGAAGCCACAGTCATGTGACCATGAGAGGCTTCAAATGGCTGTAAAAGCAACATGTCTGCTGAGCTGCCCAAAAATCTGGGCATGTGGCCACAATGGGTGTGCGGCCATCGGAACTTCAGAACCAGGTTGTAAGTACCTTTTGGGGGAAATTGTTGTAACTTTGAGCAGTCACTAAGTGACTAGTCATAACTGAGATTACCTGTACCAAATTGAAAGTGACCATGGAGGTCATCTAAATGCAATTACCAGTCATAGCAATCCTGACACATAATTTCGAGTGAGGAGAACCTTTAGTAAAGTAGAACCAGGGGTGGGCTGCTGGGGGTTCGCAGGGTTTCTGGAGAACCTCTAGCTAAGATTCTGTGCAGTTCAGAGAACCCCCAAATCCCACTCCTGGCTGGCCCTGCCCACCCCACCCCACCCCTCCCAGGAGTCCTCAGGCGGCCCATTTTGGATGCAGGTAAGTGCAGGGCATGCGCGGAGGCTCAGGGAGGGTGAAAAATGGGCCTACTAGAAGATCAGGAAGGCCAGAAGATTGGGAAGCCTGGAAAAGGGCCTTTGGAGCCTGGGGAGGCAATTTTTGTCCTCCCGGAGGCTCAAAGAAAGTCTCCAGAGCCCAGGGAGGGCAAAAATGCCTCCCCCTGCCATGGTGCAGGAGGCCGACTAGGCCATGCCCACCCAGAAACTGGGCAGAGAATCCTTTACTAAAATCTTTGAAGCCCACCCCTGAGTAGAATCCAAGTAAGTTGATGACCAATTCAATGGTTAATGAATTCTTATTGCCAGCAAGCTTTGATTTTACTGAAATCTGCTTTCCTAAAATTTTCACTTGTTTCTGGTTGTGTTATCCTTATTGCAAGCATCAGTCCCACTCATCATTTCCAGGGAATCATGTAATAATTAGAAAGTGCTATTTAGGCTATTGTCCAGCTTTCAGCTCAGTGAAGGAGTAGAAATTAAAATATCACTGACAAATATCTATCCAGCCTTATCTTGAATACCTGCCCCCCAACAGAAAGAGTTTATCACCTTCCTACATAATTGGTTCCACTATCAAACTATTCTTACCCTAACAAATTACTTTGCTGGATTCAGAAAAGGGTAGTTTCATTTTCTACAAATGCTCCTAATA